CCCCAAAACCCCAAAACCCCAAAACCCCAAAACCCCAAATCTGAACTAGTATGTTGAAAAATAAGTTTAAAAATATAGATAAAAATATGGATAAAAACTGAGTAAGTATTCTTATTTATGCTTCTTTTACGAGGTTCTTCTTTGGTTTCATTAATGTTCCTTCATATGACATTGTTTCTTATCTAATTATTTAAATATAGTCACTTAGAGTAGCTTTGAGTACTCCAAGCAATAGTCCCACAGACATAGACACTTCGAACGAAGGAAAAACGAGTTGTGAAAAAGACATTTTTAATATTTCCTTCGGTACCAAGGTTAATCAAGTCAAGGAAGACAAATTTTTAGAAATCAAAGGTAAGCTTTAGGGACATCTAAATGTTCTACTTCTTCAAGTTAAATTTAATTGCCTGAATATTTCTCAAAAGAAATGTTCTGGATACAAATATTAAAAATATCGGTGTAAATCTTGGTTTAAGGCATTTTAGAAAATTGCTTAGGGATATCGGAAATATTCTGAGATATGATTGTTGCCATTCTGATATTCACAAAGAGCTGTCAGTCTGGGTCTTCACAGTTCCAAATGTTCTAAGTCTTTAAATTAGCTTTAAGTTATTCAGATTATTAAGAAAATGCTATTAGGTCCACTTTCCATAGGTTGGTGGGCTTAGTAGTGTAAATAGTTAAAGTGAAGTAATCATTCATCTATCTGGGCTCGTACAAGATTTTTGAAATATTTAAAGAACCAAAGCTAATTAATTAGATTATATATGAGGCTCTTGGTTATGTTTGGTTTTTGGCCGATTCTTCTGACAACAGACCTTCATAACTCCAGATATTTGGCAGTAAAGGTAGGATTTTGGGTTCATAATTCGGTGAAATATCTGCTATAATATTTTACCTATTTTTACCTTCTCTTCAGTACTTCACCAATTCATGTTGAGAGAGGAAGTTTCAAGTTAAAGAAAATAATAATATTTTCTCTCCTCCTTGGAAAAAATTAATGGAGAAAATATCTGTTAAATCTAGATAGTAATAATATACGAATGGTCAATACCTTAAAAATTTTCAAAATTTCAATTTTACCAAACCACTCTCCTCATCTAAATGGCCCATTTTCCAGTCCCTTTCTTCCCTAATACCCCATCCCACCCACCAAACCCCTTCCTAACCCTTTCAGCCTTCCCTTCCTCAGCCCCTCCACTCCAAAATCCCACTCCCTAACCCTTCCCATAGAGCAGCCCTCCTTCAACCCTCATTCACAGTTCGGAGTAAAAGTCCTGTCTCCCCAAAACTCAGTTGAATTTCCAGAACAACCAGTTGAACAGAATTCCTTCTTGTCCCCCTTTGATAAGGAAAATGACCAGGGGAGGTCAAACTCTGCAGGTGGGATATCATGCTCGGTTATAAATCCGTCATCAATTAGTCATAAAAAGAAAGTGAGGAATGATAGAACATGGAGATATCTTAAAAACAAACAAATGGTAAGTTATATAACTAAAAGAGGACGCTGGGCTCTGATCATAAAACTTAACTTATTGAAGAAGCGAACCTAATCATTTATCTAGGGGTTGAAATACAAAGAGGAGAAAAAGAAGGGTGCAAGCAGCCTAGAGGATATACTCTCAGATAAAGATTTTATCGTCATGAGCTTGCCAAAAAGTACTACCTCTGTCAGTGAAGGAGTGGACTCGAAGAAAAACATTGACAAAAAGAATTCTAAATCTTCTGGAAAACCAGGTTTCCTAGTTGAAAAAACCGAGAAGAATTCGAAATCCTGAGCTTGTGTGATTTTCTAAGCTTTAATTTGCTTGTTATGGGATGGCTATATGATCAAAAAGAGTCAAGACTTCCACATAACTTAATGCAGTCTTTTATTTAAATTCTACGAAATTCCTCTTTGGTATATAATTGAAGGAGAATATTTCAACGAAGATGTAATCCTTCTTCTTATCAATTCCAATATTATGCACAGAAGAAGGGGTTTTGGGGTTTTGGGGTTTTGGGGTTTTGGGG